CATTCCCCTTGAAATACATCATCAGCATCAGGATTTTCCCTCCACTCCTCTTGCTTTCCAGGAAAAAGCAGAAACAGCTGCTATTGCTCAGACCTTAACTGTCTTCAAAGCAAAACAACAAAATAGGTGACAGTCTCTCAAACTCCTTGGCTGACCTACCCTTTGTTTGCCAACTTGGTCACATTTGGTTGGTCTTAGTAGTCGTGTAAGGAGCAAAGAGAACATCACAGCCACTGATAAGGAATCAGAGCCTGAGCAAGGACTGCGGAAAGCTCAAGCTGTTCTCAGGTGCCTGATCTGTTTCTCCTGCAGTCCTTACCACCTGCTATCTCCTAAAACAGGTCTGGGATCAAGTGGCTGAAGCTCTGGAAGAGGACAGCAGATCCAGAGTTAAAACAGTGAGCAGTCTAGGACACAGCTGTCCATCCAACAAGCATACAGGTGAGCTAAAATTAATAATAGAAAATCAATATTTCAGTTAGGAGAGGCAGCATAAAGAAATCCCAAAGCAGCAATACTGTACAGCTGCAGAGAACTGAATTATAGCCTCACCTCCACTCTGAGATCAGCACTTTTTGCTGCAATGGAATAAATCAGTCCTTCACCAGTTCTGCACAACTCTACTGAGGAGCTCACTAAGGGGAAGAGTTCAGCAGCCCAGACAACACCTCAGACTGGGCTCAGGGCTCATCATCTCACCCAATCAGGCCAAAGCTAAACCTCAATGACTTCACAGGACACCAAAACCAGAAATTCCATCTGTGGTCTGTAGCTCTGCCTGCACAATTCCTGTTGTCAATGGCATTCTTGTACAGAGATTTGGGGTACTGGCCAAGAAAGGGCTTTCATTATCAAGAACCTGCTCTCAGCCACCTCCTTTCACCTTTGCTTCTTCTCAAAGTCATGAACTTCACTACTAAACCCCTCAGCTTAAGATCCAGATTAAGGTCCTTGAATTTCAACTTAAAAACAATCACCTCTAAATAATCTTTCTTGAATCCTTGATGTAGGCTGAAAACCTGTGAAGCAGCAATACAGAATGAGCAATGAGGTTCCTAGATGATAACCACTTACAAACAGTAACAGATGAAAATCAGGTTCTTTTTCAACCTATACTTTAATTGTGGCAGATGAAGTATCAAATTCAGCCAGTATAAGCCTCAGTGATCACTACAAAAATTTAAGCTTATGACTATTTGGTTATAAATCAGATACCTTAGATATTTCTTTAGCACTTCTAGGATATAATAGCTGCACTGTGAACCATCATGTTCCTCACCCAGAATACAAGCTGCCACTTAACTCTGCTCAGCACATGAACCAGCACAGCTTGTTTCCTCAGAGCACAGTGGTCACACGAGTAAATGCAGTCCTACAGCAGCAACCCAGGGGCTATTCCAAGTCACAAATGTGGCCTCCTACACAAGTCAACAACAAGGAGTCCTTATCCACAGATGGGAGTTCATGTCTCATGTATAACAGCTCAACACTGTTTTGACATGAGTTTGCCCACCTCTTTCTACAGAACTATATAAACTTTAAGTATTCCTTATATCCAGCAGCAAGTCACACACTCAGTGTGACACTGCTCGCTTGGCACTGACCCTTCCTACTTTGATTTGGCCCATGCAGTGCACCAGTTCAGTGTGGACCCCATCTACCTTGTGAGAAAGTAAAAGGAGATGACAAGAACACCTTGCCAGATTTCAGGAAAAGAGCAGGGCTCTCCCCACTGACAGATGGAGAGAGGAGCCCTACTATGGCTTTGCTTTGGCTGCTTGGTTCATGCACATGGGGAAGCAACCAGGTCACTGAAGCAGCACAAGCCACAGCTCTGCCAGCACAATACAGCATCATCAGAACAGCAACTCTGCAGTACCAGGAAAGCATTCCCACCACAAGAATAACCTGTGTAAAGCTCTGGCTTTAAACCACACAAACAAACTGTGTGCAACAAATACAAAGTTTCTAGTCTGGAGTCCTTGACTTGGAATCTGCAGCATATGAAAGAAGTAGGGTGCTGAACACAGGCCTCCCATTCCTGAATTAGCACCCAAGCCATCACTCCTTTTAACTTAGTTTTGCCTTCCAGAGGCCAAACTAAGGTACAGAAGATGTTTCAAAGTAGAATCTATTCTTGACAGCAATCAATAACTCTGCTCTTCTCTCACATGCTGTCACACTGACACCGTGGGGCCAGACCAGCTCCATTTATGTGAGCTCCACTCTGCTGCAGTCCCAGCTGGACACAAAGTTCACTTTCATGGAAAGAGCACAGAAGAACCATTTTGATGCACTGAGCACAACAGAGATTTAAAGAAAGCCAAGGACCAAATCCTTTTGGAGTGCCAAAGAGAAAACAAGCAATTACAAATCGCAACAGTTAAACCCTGGCACTAGGGATGCAATTCCCTATTAATGCAAACACACGTCCTGCATTGTGAGGCAAGTTCATAAACCAGAGGCTTCAAAGGAGCTTCAATCTCTTCTGCCAGGGAGAAATGGCTTGAACTTCCATTTGGATGCTGAACTGCCTTTGCAAATTGCTCTTGCTCCCCACAATTACAGCCATTTGGGTGACAGTTACCTGGCTGCTCCTAATCTATTTAATATAAGGGAGGCAGGAAAAGCAGACAAAAAAATCCCAACTGGAAAGCACTGCAATCAGTTTAAGATGGTTTCCAGTTCCAGGATTCAACAGCTATAGTTTTACAAAGCAAAATTATATAATATATTTTCTAAAATTAAAAGCCACTAAATGAAAAACTTCATTTGGTAATTGTTAATTCTTACCACTCCAAAGCTAAAGTTCAGCACTAGCAACTGATACCAGCACAGACTCATCAGACATTAAGTGCAGCAAAAACCTACAGGGCTTGTGTAACAACACAAAGCCCCTTCATTATTCCAGTACAGCCCTGTAGCTGGAGATCACTTTCAAGCCACTTCTGCTACTCCAGTCAGGCTAGAAAAATCATACCATCTTCTTATAGGAGAAAATAAATTGTTCTGCAACAGGAGATCAGGGCTAAAAGATCTTCTGTTAAGGGCTTCAGTGAGCAGCCTGTGAAAATTTGTGTCCTGAATCTTTCACTGCTTAAATACTGATCTAAATTCTTCTCAAGCTTTCAAAAGAGCAATACTCAACAGTAGCCTCAAACCATTTAGAAAGGCAAGCAACAGAGACAGCTCTCATTTCAGTTCCTTTGGTCCAGAAATGCACACACACACAACTACCATGTGGTGGCCTTTTATAAGCAACGATTTGCCAGCTGCTTCCCCAGGCAAGGAAGGCAGTGTTTGGTATTCAGAGCATTTGCAGACGTTGGGGTGGTGCAAAGACAACCTCCTGCTATTCTGAAGAACGAGCAGCCCTCTGGGCCTCACCTACTGCCATTAGGGGAAAGTACCAGCAGCTGGGAGTAACAAGTACACCTTGTACCCTACTCACAGCTAACAGTGTAACCATTTAAAGATGCAAGATGTAACAACATAAAAGACTCAACTTTGCATATCACAAAAATCAAGGCGGCAAAAAACATCGAAGGATTTTTTTGTTATCAAAGAGCTCAAGAACACAACTTTGTTACAACTCTGGTACCAGCAGAAAACAGTGCTCCAGACCTCACAGCAAACCTTCTGTTGCTGGTCCTGTAACCAATTGATATAATAATTGCTGTAAACAAAACATCCATTAGCTTTGGTGTTTGCAGAATTACAGTCTCATTGTCACCCAGGCTCCAGCTATTGCCTATTTCATCAAGAATTTCTAGTGGTTCCTCTGCAGTTTCCCAAGGGAAACAGTAAGCAAAAGTACAAAGGACACTAGAAAAGCAAGTAGTGCAGGAAAATATGCCTTTTTCTTAGTTACAGTTCTTTAGAAATTACAGATAAGATACTGGTGTCAAAAGCATAAAATCAGCATCTTAGAAGCCTTGAACAACTTCTGTTCACATAAGGCAGACAGTGTTTCAAAAGACAGTGAACTAAGTGAATGAAGTTCATCAATGAAGGAGGGATATTCCAATGGTTTGGTTTGCCTAGGGAAGTAGCAAAGTCCCTACTATGGCTCACAGCTCTCCTCAGATTTCTCAAACAGCTCAGGCAGCACTGCTAACATGAAAAGCAAGAGCACCAGAAGCCCCAGCTCTGCCACCTCCTGCAGATTTAAGCAAGGCGAGTGTTATTGCTGGGAACTGCTGCCCTCTGCTGTCACATGAAACAGGCCAAGCTAGTCAGACAAAACCAGGCTTACTGCTACATGAAAATAAAATCCCCCATGATAAGGACCAGCAGTTAGTTCACAGGGCAGTCAGATTTCAGGTGGGTTCACCCAGGCTCCTCAGTTTGCTCATACACTTTTATAAAATACCTGACCCTTCTTGCAGCACAGCCTGAGAGGCCTCTTGTAAGCCAAACTCAACCTAAAGCATGTTTTTAACCCAGCCCATCCCCTTTGCTGCAGCTGTTTCAGAGGCAAAGTCTGCTCAGCAAAACACCTCTTACTGCCTGCAAATCTTCGTCGTGGATTGCGAACATCACCAAGGAAAGTGCCAGCCAATATCCTGCCACGGCACAGAACCTGGACTAGGCTGAAGGAATAAAATGTGTTACCCTCATCCCTGTGGGACCAGATGCACTTCTTTCCTTGTCTCAACCTTCCCAGTGACAGTGCCACCAGGGAGCTCTGTCCCAACCATTAAAACACTGGCCAAATGGGGAAGCCCAAGTGAATTTGAATTATATTTATGAATGTTTTGAAGTTGAGTAAAGACTGAAAGACTGAGGTCTGCATATAAGAATACTCTGCAGCTCTCATGCAGGAAAATCTTGGCCTCATTCTCCCTGAGATCTGTATGTGCTCACAGTAAAATTAAAAAACAGTGTAAAGGAAAGAGAAGACCCACTGTGCTTCAGAGCCCAGCTCCAGCTTGCCCCCAGCATCACAGCACCCAGTTTGCACTGGGCCCACAATGGATATATCACATCTGCCAACTTACTTGATTTCCTCACCAGCAAAATCAAACGTTTTGGTGATTGTCACTTTTCCTGAATCTTTTGGCTTCTCCTGAGGCTTATTCCCACTGTTCTCTTCTTCAGCCTACAAAATACATGAAGGAGAAAGCAAAATAATGCATTTGTGGAGCCAAGCCAAATTATTATTCCAAAGGGCCGAGGGCCCAACACAGACCTTGGGTAGCACTGCAATTTAGACTGGTGGTCAAAGCAAGTCACCTACAGACAAGATAAAGGAAATAAATAAATTTCATTCCACCAGAATGAAATTCCCCCATTTTGGTTCCAGGCTGTCATTGAAGCTCTATGATCAAAACAAACTAAAACAAGAAGTGAAATTGTAATTAATGTAGGAAGGAGCATAAATAAATTGCAGTGGCTCACAAAGCAAGCAAAACCCTGGAGACTTGGTTCTCTCAAAATAAGCACCACCAAGCAGGAAAGCTCCCAAGGTGAATTCCACTGAAGTATGTTTATTTTTACTCAAAAACAGAGAAGAACAAAACTCATCAGCAGAAAAAGCGATGCTGATCTCCCTACTCATCTATAACATCTCTTTTATTTGAGAAAGAAAAATCTTTATTAAGCATTTTGTCAACAATGCCTCTTAATTTACTCAGTCACAGTTATAGATGCTAAAAGGATAAATAAAGAAGTGCAGACACCGTAAGTTACCAAAACAAACCCCAAATTCTTGCTCTAAATCAACCACACACCACAGAGATCTTCAAGCAGGCAGTGCAAGCCCAAGAAGTTCACAAAGAGAACAGAGGAACTGCATGTCTCTATGAATTATTCTAGGCTATGGAGGAACTTTCAAAGATATCTCACATTTTAGCAATGTGCCCATAAAAGTAGAACTGCTAAGAAGAAAATGTTCGCCTCTCTTCTTCCCTGACTCTACAAGTAACCACCCCAGCTGTTCAGTTAGCAATAATGAGAAGCAAGAGGGCTAAGATGAAAGGACTCTCCTTCCAAAAGTTGCTATCAAATATTACAAAAACTGTACTTGCTCTGCAACCTTCCAACAGTCACAGAAAGAAGCTTCACACAGTCAGAACTGTACTCACCAGGCAGACTCCAGACTTCTGTCACTGAATATTTATTCTGGCTGACCATTTAAAAAACCCCAAACTGATAATTCTAGCAACAGAGGCTCAGTTGTGGTATGTTCTTCCCTTCTACCACCTAAAGCGTGAAAGGTTTTGACAGGGAAACACATGCACTTGGTTTTACTGAGAATCAAATCCTTTTAAATAGCTACCACACACAGAATTCACTCTTCAGAAAAACCTCTGCACACTGAGAGCACCTTACTGGGGCTTAAAAACGACACAAAGCCAGATTCAATCTTGCTACAAATGTGAAACATGCAGCACCTTCCAGACCCCCTCCATGGGGATGGAGGCACAGAGATGCCAGCACAGACCCCTCTTGTTTCCCCATACACACACACAGCCTCCCATTTATTTTTTTAAGCATCAGGAAAGGCACAAGCCTCAGGGAAAGTTGTGCCCACAAGCACGACTCAAACCAAAGTTCATCATTCCAGTGTCAAAAGAGGAATCCAGGACCAGGAAGGGAAGTGAACAGGGCTGCGTAGGACACTCCAAGATGCTGACAAACAGCTCCAAAAGCAGCACCACCTCCACATTTGGAAGGAAACCAGGACCTTAGAGTGTTGCCCATCAGGGGATGTGAATCTTAAGAAGCAGAAGGGGCAGGGGCAACACCAGCCTCTTCCCAGCTCTGTCCAACACTTGATACCAGCCAGAACCAAGGCTGCATGCTCTAAACCTTCAGGTCCTTCCCACACTCCCTGTATGTAGGCCCAAGCCCCTGTTACCTTCTTGATTTGTGTCACTTGTGTGGCAGCCGCTGCTTTGGGCTTCTGTCCTACATCACTGAGGAAACTGGCCCAAAGAGCATCCTCTTTCTTTTTTTCTTCTTCTTCTCTGCTTCTTTTTACTTCCTCTACATTATCCACTTCCTCCTCTTTCTGCTCCTCTCCATTCTGCTGGGTCTCTTCTTCCCCTTTCTCATCTGGCTCTAGCAAGAGACCGCCTTTCTTCCTCTTCCTGAAAGCAGATGCCAACAAAGAAGAAAAAATGTATATGGAGCTTCTGCACTACTATTCCAGAGCTGAACTGTAATCTTGGCTGAAGCAACACAATAGTTCATATTTTTACTAAGACATCTGAGCTGGGAGGTTCTCTCTTAACCTTGGGAGCATATGTATTTTATTAAAAGATGCTGCTACTCAGAAAATAGAGACTGATGCAGGCAGTGCCCCTGAAGTGAACTGGCCCGTTTGTATGCATTTCTGTGACTATATAATATACTGAAACACTGGCTCAGCTTTGCCAGGGAAGATGTGGCTGCCCCATTCCTGGAAGTGTTCAAGGCCAGGTTAGATGGAGCTTTGAGTGACCTGGTCTAGTGGGAGGTGTCCCTACCCATGGCAGAAGGGTGGAACAAAGTGGTCTTTAAGGGCCCTTCCAACGCAAACCATTCCAGGGTCCTGTGCATCTGGGATAACGCAGAAATCAGGAGGGAGGAGAACCTGGGCTACACAAAAACCAACCTCAACTAAAGTACGTATATATTTATCTCAACGTAAGAAACCCCGTATGTGCGTGCTTTGCACTGAAAAAGGTTAACACAAACAACTCCTGCTGGGGAGGGTTTTCAGGCACGACGTCGGGGCCGAGGTTCTCTGCTGCTGCCGCTAAACCGGAACGCAGAGCAGCATTTCCCGTCCCTCCGCCCCGCAGCGTACCAGCGGCGGCACCGGGCCGGATCACAGCGGCCGTACCTGCTGCCGGGGCGGCGGGGGCTCCTCCTGCCGCGGG